CTTGCAAGACCCTTACCGCGTCAACGACATGTTCCTCCTCAGCATCATCGGGAGTTGTACCCCGAACATGTCGAGGATATTGCCTGTCATGCACTGGTGTGGCGTCGTTTCCCACATCATGGGTGTCACTGATTGAGTCCTCGAAATGAGGCCGATCCCCTCGAATCTCGGGATGTGTGTTCTTAACACCGTTATCTGCCATTTCTTATGATTTTTTTCTAAGACAAAATAACCAAAACACGTTAGTAAAATAGGCAAGAATCAATTTAATTGCACAGCTGTCTAGGCCGCATGGTGGGCGCCAAACTGTTTACCCAAAAAATGGTACAGCTGAATTTATATGTGGTTTCTAGACAAGTGAATTAATTTGATCCTAAAATAATAAGATGATTGAAGAAATATGCAATACTTAGCCTTGAGATTGAGACGAAATAGCAGAAATAGTGGTTCCGGCACAACAACAATGAAATTAAAAAGCAAGAAGATAAAATTGTACTAAGCTTTGGATAGAGTATAGCATAAGTTTGCCAGAAAATTCGTGTTCCCTACAATGATAGCTGAGCTCAGTATTTATAGTTACGTCTAGGGAAGGAGGTCCTAGGATCGTGCTCCTCTTTAATGTCAATTATGAGGGCGGTTGATGAAGATGTAGCAGTGAGCATAAATGTCAAATTCCTTGTAACGGGCAATCGTATTTAATTCCGTGGAATATTCCCTATTAAATGCTACCGGACGAAGAGTATTTATACATCCTTATGAGTGTTATTCTTCTCGGTGACAGATGAAATAGTTGTCTTCAGTCTTGGACATCCCCCGTCTTAGGCTCCACGTGTCTCTTTTTTGGACGGCCACGTGGCATAGCATATTTTACCCTATAAAGAGTTAAGTACAAGAGAATTAACAACTTGCTGAAACTACATAATAAAGATTTTATGGAGGATAAGTATATAAAAGATATTGTTCACTTCTCTTCCTAATTAGTTCTCCAAGTGTATTTTCTTTATTAATTTATTGCGATGATAATTTAATATTTTGAAACTATAATTAAATGAATATTAATTTATTTCATGTTGTTGAAACCGATAGGTTTATGGATATCATCTTTTCCTCCATAAGAAGTTTAATGGAGCATAACAAATATCAAGGGTAATGCATATTTAGTTGACATTTTATTTTAAAAGATACAAAGTAAGGCCTTAAACCTCTATAAACTATGGGATTTGGTATAATATTGGCCTTCATCTACCTGTCGGGCTAAAAATGCCCCCGACCATAAGGAGATCATTAAAAAAAGGGTAAGTTTGAACGGAAAGGTTAAGGTCGAAATATTTTAACTTTATAGGTGGACGGAAGGCAATATTATACCGAATCCCGTAGTTGAGAACTATTTTAGGCCCTTCTCTGTCCGTTAAATGAATATGTTCTTCAAACAAGAGGCATCTCCTCATAAATGGGTATTGTTTAACCAAAAAAACTGAATATTTGGTTAAAGCTAGAAATTAAGAGAGAAATCGGGTTACTGATAATCAAGAAATGAGAGACTTTGAGAACAACAATAAAGCAATGAATAAGTATATATTTCAGTATAATCTCAATAATATTTCGTGTCCTACAGATGTTGAGACCTTCCCCTTTTATAGTTAATTCTAGGAGAAAGTGTAATGCCTTTGTCTTAATGAGGCAATTATGAGCAATAAATGACATTAAAAGAAACGTTACTCAATCATTCCTATTAAATACAAATTCTCTCAACGTATTTGGCATTTAATGCTGAATTTGGACTCCTTTACGCTATCAGATTCATTTCTTCAATTCCTTCCGATCTTCGAGCTTTAAATGACTCGAACAGGTACGAGTCTCATTTCATTTGAATAATAGCTCGTGCCTTTAAGTATCTTCTCTCCCGCATCTGTTGTTGCTCGTGCCTTCTAACTGATTACCACGCTTTGACTATTTGACCGGTCCACATGTCATGACAGGTCATCTTATATAAATTCAGTTTTTTCCCAATACAGATAGTCCCCCCACTTTCTATTTATTTATCAATTAAATATTTGGGAAGTGGATCTTCATTAAAAGGGGAATTTTTGCCATAATCAATGCTATGACAGTACTGACGCTTCAGTTGTCTTTTCTATTTAATGCACTGCATACGTGTCACCTTCTTATTAGCTCTGCAATTCTGCAGCTTCTCTTTTTTTTCAAGGCTTCTTCAACTCCACTATTCACGAAGTGATAGTTGCCTTTATTATAGGCTTTCCATCATTACACTCCTTAATCTTTGGTTGCTTTTATATATAAACTTAACCCTTTTTCCCTTGTCTTCTTCTCCACAAACTTTTACCAAGTATTTCACTATTTACTCCTATTCACTTCTTCCTCAGTTCACATCTTTTTACCATGTCATCTTCGAATCCTAACCCTAGGAGAGTCCCAATTCTTGACAGTTTCCCCAATGCCCCTGTAAGACACAGAAGAGGTAGAGGAGGTAGGCTTCGTGGCCTAGGGTCCATTCGTGGTGGTACCTCTGATTCCATCACTCCTTCTTCTGGCACTATTTCTAGAGGTTCTTTCACTAAGAGATCCTCTTCTAAAGGCAAAGAATCTTCTGAGCCTATTCAAGAACCTTTGGTTGAAGAAATAGTGCCAACCGACTTATCTTTCGAGCATGATAAAGAATCCCTTCGTGACCATGTAATTGATGCTGACACCTATCCTTCTTTAATTACTGAACCCTTGATTTCCACTGTTCGAAAAGATTGTCGTTGGAGAGATGACCTTCATATAGTTATTCCTAACCTAAATCAGAGAATTTCTTCTTATAGGATTGGTTTTTCCTTTGTTTATACTTACCCCTTTACTTTGGGATTTATTCCTGCTATCGACCCAGTCATACTCGATTTCTGTCATTTTTTCAAGATTTGTTTGGCTCATATTGGCCCCCTCGTATTTAGAGCAGTGACTTGTTTAAGGTATGTATCGGCCAAGGCTGGTGTTGATTTTACCTTCTCCCATCTAATTCATCTTTACCACCCCAAGCTGTTCCGCAATGGTGTTTTTACCCTAACTGCAAGAAGTAAAAGGGTTTTGGTAAGCCCTGAAGATGATAAAGATCGAGGCTGGTACACCCGTTACGTTGCGGTACCCACAGTTGGTTTGGTGGGTGAATCAAATATTCCTTTTCCTGAGAAATGGAACCTTGCACGTAAGTATTTCTTCCTTACCGTATCTGTTTTTTTTTATTTCAACTCCTTTTCTAATTTCATTCTTTTTTGCTTTTTTGTAGCAACCATGGGAGATGTGGAGCCCGTTCCTAATTTCCGTGGTTGGGTAGATGCTATTTTGAAAGCCGTGCCTATGGAGGCACGAACCTGGAAATCTATTTCCAACAAACATGGTTGGAAAGTGAAAACTCACGGTATGCATCCCTTATTATTTCTCGTATGTTAAATTCTTTCCCCTCTTTTAACTTTTTATCCTTCTTTTTGTCAGGATTTGCTATTCGAGGAATGACATCTGAAGTAGCTATTGCCCTTCGAGCCTCTTCTGGTACTCCCCTTTCTTTGGAGAGAACAAAAGCTACGCTGTCAAAGAGGAAAATTGTTGAAGAGGATTCTGAGGATGATGAAGATGAAGACACCTCTTTGATGGCTAGGCCTAGAGCCAGGAGACGCATCATTTCTGAAGATGAAGCTGAAATTTCTTCTGCCCGTGCTTCCTCTCTTACCGAACCTATTACTGTTGTTTCTGATGATGAAACCATTCCAAGGGACACCATTGAATCCACTCAACATCTCTTCGTTGACGGTTTCGAAAGTGGTGAACTAGGTCCGGTTTTAGATGAAGTTCTTTTTTCCTCCTCCATTCCTATTCTTTCTATTCCTCCTTTGGTTTCAAGTGCTTCCTTGCCTATTTTACCTGTTCCTACTCCTTTGCCAATTTCTGCTCCCTTACCTGTTTCGACTCCTTCGACTCCTGTTATTTTCACCTCTTTTACCGTTCTTCCTTCTATAGCTCCCCCTTCCTCTGTTCAGCATGCAGAGGAGGGTTCCAATAGCAGAAGTTTGGCTATGAGGAGTGTCACACTTGAGGTTCCTGCTAATAACAGTCTTTTAAGGAAGTCTGGTGGAGCAGATGTCTGGCTCGAGCCTTTAATTGGAGACATTGAGAAGAAGAAGATGAACAGTCATAGTTGCTTAACTTTGATGAATGACATAGTTCATTCTACGTTAAAGGTATTCTTCCTTTACTTACTAATAATTTTTTTTATCTCTAGATTCTTATTTTCATGAGTTGTCTTTGTAGGCTAACCTTATTGGCACGGAATTGATGGGAAGAATTTCCCTTTTAGAAAAGAAGGCCCGTGAGTCTGATAAGACTGTTCTTGAGGCTGAGAGGGTAGCTAAGGAAGCCCAACTGGAAGCATCTAATTGGAAGGAATAGTTTAAAAATGTTCAAGAAACGATAAAAGAATTGCAAGAATACAGGTATATCTAACAAAAATTTATTTATTTTAACCTTTCAAAATTTGTTTAAAAAAAGTTAAGAAAAGAACTTTCTTTCTCTGAGGGTTGTCTCTTATTTTCTATCGCAAGTCACAACCAAAGTCAATGTGCTCCCTGCATCCAAAACATGAAATAACGCGTGTCAAAATCCGATTGCGCCGGACAGACATGCAGGAACCAACGGTGAAATATACACGGAAAATACTTACCCACACCAAGTGTTTACATCAAACTGTATTAACTCACTATGGTTAATTAATTTAATTAGATGAGAATGCATGTAATTTACCATGGTTAAATGATTGAAGTCCATATGCAAGACACATGTCATATATCTATCGGTTTGGTGTAAACACCCGGTGCGGGTAAGTATTTTCCCAGTATACACCCACGACCAGAATTATGGGGCATTTCCGTTATTCTAATTGAGCTAAATGGCAGTTTGGTACCATTAGAAACATCTCTCTCACTCCTTTATTTATTGCCTCTGATTTCCGATTTTTAATTTTAACCTCTTAAATAAATATTTCGCGTTAGTCTCAGGCTTCTCTCTCTCTCTCTCGTGTTCTCTCACTAGATCCCTCTTTCCAAAGCTTTCTTCAAGTAAATCTTACTCTGTCATCTAGCTTTAATTTTATGCATATCTGATAAAGTTTTGTTTTCCTCCTTATTTTTGTTCGTAAAATTCTCTAATGATATACTAACACTTTTTGTGAGTAATTTCGGCTGCATCTACCATGTCCATCTGCTTTTCCTTTGATTTTGCGGTTATCTATCTCAGATTTATGCTTTTTAAGCTTCCGATTTGAATTCCTGTTTTTTTTTTCTGTGAATTTCTGTTGTTATGATGTTTTCTGAAGGTTGATACATGGGACCTGCTCTGGTCTCTGGGAAATTGTACTATCTAATGGTTTGATTCGTGAAATATTGATCTAGATCTTAGGCTTTGGTGGACAGAGTTACCGATACCTGTATCAATAGCCGGTGGAATAGTGGTGGTGCTCACAAGCTGGCTTTGAGTGCCACCATTGCGATTTTATTTTGTGCTTTTTAAATCTAGTTCTGTCAATTTTGCTTTGGCTCATCCAGATCCGTTTCTAGAGTAGCTGCATCTTTTCGTACTGTTGCATTACTTGATATTTTTTGTATAATTCAATGGCTCTATGTACGTAGGGATCCTTAAGAAGAAAGAGAAATGGGGCTGACATTCACCAAGCTTTTTAGCCGGCTATTTGCCAAGAAGGAAATGCGCATTCTCATGGTTGGTCTTGACGCAGCTGGTAAGACCACCATATTGTACAAGCTCAAGTTGGGCGAGATCGTCACCACCATTCCTACTATTGGTATGTGCTTTACTAGCATGTAGCAAGAATATTCGGCAATAACATTTCTACAGTTTTTAAGTTGTAATTATTGTGACAAATTTTGCTGCAATTATGACTTAAAAGACTGACCAATCATTCTGATACGGAAATGGAAAATGTGCACAGAAAAAGATGCTCTCCATTCCCATTTTATGCAGCCTTGTTTGATTCGACACGAAATTAAAGAAATAAAGAAAGACTTTTGAATATTCTTTTAGATTCTGGTGCAAATGATGCAAATCTTCCCCAATCGTTTGCCTCCCTTTTTTTGGACTAGTAGTAATGGGACCAATATCTGTTCTTCGGATGCAATTGTTTTTGGTTGTTCAGTAGTGTATGCTGTTTATAAACTTTCCTCTGAGGTGTACTCAAAAGGGGTATTAATTTTCTTAATGATTCTTTTTCTCTTCTTTGATTTGCAAAAGCCTTTTGAAGTGTTACTGAAGATTCTATGCCTTGCATTGTACTGTCAAATCACCTAATAAGCTTAATTAAAACTCTACAATAAGATGCTTGTGGCATAGCTGCTCAGACGAGTCATCAACAATAATTGATAATTCACAGGTTTCAATGTGGAGACCGTTGAGTACAAGAACATCAGCTTCACCGTTTGGGATGTCGGGGGTCAGGACAAGGTATCGCTTTTGTTTTAATCCAAAATTAGTCTTGCCTCTTCTTCCCCCTTTCTACTTTTCTTTCTTTTTTACTGGTAGCTCTTTTTGTGTTGCATGGAATGAATGTTTTAATTCAGTTTTCTGAAGGATCCTGCTTGCTTATTTATTTATTTGCTTTGGCAGATCCGGCCACTGTGGAGGCACTATTTCCAGAACACTCAGGGTCTCATTTTTGTGGTTGATAGCAATGACAGAGACCGTGTTGTGGAGGCAAGAGATGAATTGCACAGGATGTTGAACGAGGTAATAATTCCCGCCCTTTGTAATTCTGTTGTTATTCTTGCTGATGACCTATAGGTCACGGGTTCGAACCATGGAAGCAACCACTAATGCTTGCATTAGGGTAGACTGTCTAATTCTTGCTAGTGTCAAATTTGTCTTCTAAAACTTTTGAGCTATAGGCATAAAGTTGTGTGCACAAGTCAGCAAACTTTACTTAAATCTTCAGTTACTAGCGTAATATTTATACTGAAAATGATATATGGTATACTCTCTCTAGTCAATTAAGTTTGACTGGAATCAATTTGATGTATGCAACACATCATTTTTTTAAAGCTATTACCTAATCTGATATTTTGTCATGTATATAAGCTTCTGTACATGTAGGTGGCTGTTTATTTGTGTTCATTCTGTACCACTTAGTTCTTTAGAGGCTGATGCCAACTACCTTAAAACCACTCCACTACTGCTGCTCAAGGATTTACAAGTCTTCTTTTAGAAGGGAAGTGATTACTGCTTATGACACTCCCTGTCAAGTGTCAAACATCCCCTTGAACACTAAAACCTTTTAGTTGGTGATGAAACCTTTATAGCATTAGATTCTTCTATGAGATTTAGATTTTTTTAGAAAAAAAGGATCTTCAAAAGGATCCTGGTAAAATCTAGATTCAGAAATTTCAGTTTCGATGTGAGCTTCATTCTAGGTAAAGATGATTGAGTGTGCTCTAAATTTTGGTCATAGAATAAAATGTAAATCATGAACTTTGATTAGTAAGGTGGAAAATTATGCTCAAGCCTAACAAGGTAGAATTTAGTGAATCTCGCATGATTAAACCTGACATGAATGACGTCTCTGTCACATGAGTAGAATTTTATTTGGTCAAGGTCGATTCAAATCAATGTTTACATCCTTGTATGATAAATTAGACTGCAATTTGGAGAATATAAAATCTTAGACTTCCACTTATGCATGTAAGCTTGATGCACAGTGCATGACTTAGTAGAATTTGGTGTAATGGATTTAGCTAGACCACAAATCCATCACTGGAGGACACTATGTGATTCCTGGTACCTGTGCTTGTAGGAGTAAGTAGGTAACCATTGGAATAGTCGAAGTGCATGCAAGCAACTGGAGGCCACCGTTATAAAAAAATACTATGCGATGCTAAAAAATTTCCACACTTACACTAGGTGTCCACCTTTTGCTTGGAATACAGTACTTTTATTTTGATGGAGAAGTGAGTATCCATATAGCAGACCCCAACTTGTTTTTTTTAGTTTTTTTTTTTTTTTTTTTTTTTTTTTTTTTTTTTTAATAACGAGACTAAAGCATAGTTGTTGTTTGGAGATTTATGTGTTCCTACAAAAGGTAGAAGAACTTTCACACTCTAAAAGAGCAGAGGTATGAGTGGAAAAATATCTACGACTGGATCATAAAAGGATAGGCAACTATTGATTTTTGGAATAAAACTGGTTTATATGGAGTGACTTTGAAATGACTGTCCATATTGCCGACCCCAACTATATATGGATTAAGTTTATAGTTGTATTGTTCCCTTGTGGCCATCGGTCAAAGTAAATTAGTTTTGTCCTTGGTCATATTTTAGCTGAAAATTGCATCGTAATGCATCATCTTGAGTAATGTCAAAATTTTAATTTTTGATTAAGGCAAAACTTAGTCCGGATGAGTGAATAATATACGCGAAAAATATGCTGAATCTAACATTGGTCGACTTGGCTATTCTTTTTTGGGGTGGAGGTGTGGGTGGGGGTCGGAGGTGAGGCGGCTTTACATGTGTCATCTCTGATGAGATTAAGTATGTGTTTGCACAATATTTATGTTGAAGTTTAAAGCAAAGTATTTGAAGTTGGAGTTGAAAAGAAGTTTGTGGAGGTCATTAAGTTGTGCTACTTAAGTTTAGTATTGTAAATACTAGAATAATAGTTATGATCAAATGGGGTCCCTAAACTTGGATGAAAAACCCAATTTTGGTCCATTTTTTAAGTTCCTAGTTACAACCTTGAAGTGGGTGATAATTGACCTTGCTGAATTTGATTTGGTTGTTGGTCCATCTTAAAAACTTTAATGTGGTTGTTCCATATTCTGTGTTTACTTGCCAGACTTGGTTGCATATTGGCATAAGTATAGATTTGGTTTTACTTAGAGAGAGTTATCAGTTAGATATAATTTTATTTGATCCTTCTTTCTTTAATTATCATTAAAGGAAGGCAAAAAAACTATCCTGTTTGAAATATTTTACATCAATTCTATCTTTTTCATGAAAGGAAGATGCAATAGAAATGAACTCCTGATTTTCGCAAAGGAAGTTAGTCAGATTCAGTCATAGTTAAAAGAAAATTAGAATATTAGATAACCTGTGGGAGTATTGGCGTACACCTAATACAGTTTAACTCTCTGAGTTTCAAATATAGCCACATATGTTGTCTTCACTTTTTTTTACATTGTCTATGTTCGACTCTTCTGCCCTAATCTTACTTAGTAAATAGTTATTATTGGTGCAATGTATCTCGTAATTGAGACAGAAGTTCAGCAACCTATATGAGACATTTGGAAACTCCAGAATAACAATTAATTAGTTAGTGATATATCTAGAGAATTCGGGGATAAATGGGTGTGAAAAAGAATATTTTTCTTTCTACCTTGTCTTTTAAACAAACAGGCACAACAGAAGCTTTCCAATAAGTTACAGAATTTATGCATCAGTCCGTTGTTTGCTTAAAAAGAACACAGGCGAAATAGGCAAGGGAGTAGGTTAGGGAGGAACAGTGGTTACCGGTCCATGAAGTTCTCTTGCTGCTTACATCCCTTTTTTTCCCCCTTATTGTCCTACTTTCTGTTGTTTATTAGACCAGAAAAATGAATTTGGGAATTCTTTGAATTGAGTTTAACCTTTGTTCAGCGACACGTGGGCTTACTGTTGTTTTTATATGTCCCAGGATGAGCTTCGGGATGCTGTGCTGCTTGTTTTTGCTAACAAACAAGATCTTCCTAATGCAATGAATGCTGCTGAAATAACTGATAAGCTTGGACTCCACTCCCTCAGGCAGCGTCACTGGTAAGCGATCTGCCAGAACTTGTGACGACGCCTTTCTTTTAAAACATGCTAAGCATTCTCTTTGCTATTTTTAGGTATATCCAGAGCACTTGTGCAACTTCTGGAGAGGGACTTTATGAGGGGCTTGATTGGCTTTCTAACAATATTGCTAACAAGGTACTTGATAAGTTCCAAATTGATCAAAGTTGGTGATGCAAATTTGCTGTATAGGATTGCATTTCCTTTTTTGTTTTTCCCCCTTTCCCTAACATCCTCCATTTACAGGCCTAAACCAACGTAGAGTTGTTGCGGTTTGATCCTGGATGCAGGCGGGTTTTTATCTAGTTCTTTTTCCTTTTTTTCCCCATTCTCAGAATCTGTGTGGTTATGAATATCCCTTGAAAGTGATTTGCTTCTTGGTAGGACCTGTTGAAATGTTTTTGTAATACAGTGGTATGATATATGTAATTGCTGTTTGTTTGGTTTCAAGTATAATGCTATAATTTGTAACAGAGAATAGATGTTTCATTGGTAAATGGTAATGGAATACTTCCCTGCTTGTTCCTTCCCATCCGTCTGTGGCATTCGTTGAATAACTTGTATGCTAATGTGCTGCTTTTAAGGGAAATTGAGAAGAAAAAGAAACTAGATATGTAGCACTAGCATGGGCCAGCTACCTTTTTTATGGAGATCGAGTGTTGCGTGGAATCTGGAAGATCTTCTATTAGCTTTAATTTCTACTTTCTAATACCAATTCACGTGATTGGTCAACCAGGATGCTGAGACAAGTGCACTCTTAAGTATGAGTGATGAAATTAGTAAATTTCAGTGCAGATGGTACATTGTTATGTTAAATAAATTCCATGTTCCGTGCACCCCTGTTGGGAAGTTACGTGTTTTTGTAGAGCTGCAGTTAGGCCACAAACCCGAGCTCGAGATAAACCCTTGCAGTAACACGGGGAAAGGAAACGGAAATAAGGTAAGAAGACAGGCTCAGAAAGGAGGGAACCAGAGAAAGGGATTAGGGATTTCAGAATTGACAATACTCAAGTCTGCCTCTCTTTCTTATATGGTGCTCTATATTACACAGATCACAGTACCCGAAATTCATTCATAATTTTCTAATTTTGTAGATTTGTCTTCCATCATAGCCTCTTGATTAATATCATTATAAGAGAATGTTAGTCATCAAATTTAATTAAGCACCTTTATTAAAGCGTGAAAGTTAAGCTTAATATGTTAATTCATATCCATTCTGTTACAATAGTCAAAGCAATGTGGTACATGGGTCAACGGCTCCTAGCAAGGTTTCAGATTTTAAAACAGTTTATGTACAAGCTAATTCGAGCGATTATACAAAATTACCTCAAATGAGCTCTTATCTAGGTGATCACTTGTGAAGCTCCGATAGTAAAATGATTCATGAAATTACTCATATAGGAGCACTCAAGCCATGGGCCACTACTGCGCGTCTACCAGCCTTCTCCACCAACTACGAGATCACCCGATTAAGTGATGTCACGTAACACCGCTTTATCGAACCTCATCTTTAACATTCTTTTTTGCAAATTTTTGAGTCTATCTCTTTTGTCAAAATAATAGAGGCCGAGCAAAATTGAACCCTTGACCTCTTCAAGCATAAAATTACACAAAATGGGGATATAAGGCCATGTATGTTAGCTAAATTAATAAAAGCTAATATAATGTTCATTTAAGTGGAGAAACTTCTCCAGGAATAACTCTGAAAACTGATCCCAAGTCAAAGGCGATGACCCTGCTGGTCTAGCTAAACAGTAATCCCTCCACCAAGTCTTGGCGGATCCGGATAGACGAAAAGCCGCAAAATCAACTCCATTGGACTCCACAATGCCCATGTTTCGAAGAACCTCGTGGCAGCTGTATAAGAAATCCTGGGGGTCCTCAGAAGAAGCTCCGCTGAAGGTAGCAGTGAAAAGCTTGGTGAACCTGTCCAGCCTCCACAAAGCATCAGCGGACATAGCCGCTCCATCACCGGCCTGTGCAACTACCCCCGGCTGAACTGCCACAGCTGGCTGGCCCGGTGGAATCTGAGTCTGGGGAGCTACCTGCTCCGGAGTACGTGCAGCAGGAGTCTGGGCTCCTCCTCCAGCCTGGGAAGTGGCTGGTGCTGCAGGAAGCAATCCTGCTCGGGTGACATTCTCCATGAGGCCAACCAATCGGACCAAGGCGTCCTGAAGAACTGGGGTAGCAATAAACCCCTCTGGGACCTGAGCTAGGCCCACCGGAACTGTCTGAGCTGGGGCCGAAACCTCCTCGTCATGGCCAACCTGAGGGTCCGCCACTGGTGTTGCTGCTGGTGGCTGGGCCATGCCCCTAGCACGGCCACGTCCTTTGCCCCTAGCGGGAGCTGCCTGGGGCTCGGAATACTGATTGGAGGATGAGGAAGCGCGTTTTCTCGCCATCTGCGAAAGAACAGAGTGGAAATTCAATCAGCATTTAAGAAACCAAGTCGCACGACAAGAAAGAACAGATGAGAGATTTTCCTAACTCAATAGACTCTGGGGAACAAGTACAGACGTCTCCGTACCTACCCCTCAGAGTCTACTAAGTTTGTCCGTGAGTTGTGAGACTTATGTAACCTAGTGCTCTGATACCAACNTCCGATTTATATATATATATCAAGCTCTTATAGAGCAGTTAAGGTGATGCATTAGAGACATCAGATTTACATAAGTAGAAGCAAAACCCATTGCAGAGGTTCCCATAACAGGAACCCTATTAGTACCTAACACATCCATAGCATAACTATATACAGAAGGCAAACTAACACTACTACTACTGCATTTACTAACTGCCGATTTAACCAGCCTTGTACGAAGTAGCCCTTGTTGTAGGAAGATGTCACAAAAGGTGGTGGTTGTTTATACATTATACAGAAACCTTGTTCTTGCTGAGCTCCATACTTTGCTAGACTGTCCGCAACACAGTTCTGCTCTCGATAAACACTGGTGATGCTTGGCCTATCCAGTTGTAGGAGTAGCAACCTGCAATCATTTAGGATATTAGTGTATTGTGGTGCAGGCGAAGCTAACAAATTCAGTACAGCCTGTGCATCTGTCTCAATAACAAGCGGTGTTAAATTCATTTGTAGAGCAATGAGCAATCCTTTGAGCAAAGCTAACAATTCAGTTTGAATAGCTGTTCCACGTAGTGTTGCTCCTGCGAAGCCCAGGATCTACTGGCCTTTGTGGTTGCGAATAACACCTCCTATACCACACTTAAAGCTGTCAACTGAGCAAGAGCCATCAATGTTAAGTTTATAAGTGTGGGTATTTGGAGGGTGCCATTTAATATAAAATGGCAAGGAAGCCTTAGCTAGGCTGTGGTGGTTTGTGAGGTAATAAAATTCAGCAGCCTTTTTATAGATGACACTTAGCTCTAAGCCTAACGTTCTATTTTCAAAAGTATGTTTATTACGATGAAGCCATAATTCCCGTAAAACAAAAGGTATTAAGGTGGTAGTTGGAATTTGTTGACAGTTATGTGGTATTTTTTGACGAATGAAAACCTTGAATAACATAAGATTATTATCGAAAGTGTGCAAGGAATTCATAATATTAACTGAGGTTTGAAGTTTATTCCAAATCAATTTTGCTATTGGACAGTAAAGTAAAATATGTTGCACAGTTTCAGGACCTAATTGGCATTGAGAGCAAATAGGAGAAGTAATAATACCTAACTTGTGAAGGTAAGACGCTGTTGGAAGCCTATCATGACAGACTAGCCAAATAAAACGGGATATTTTCGGTGGAACATTTAACTTCCAAATCCATTTGTAATTACCTGTTGGATTAGTTGAGACATTCGTACTGAGTGACAGAGAAATATAGATGGATTTAACTGAAAACAAACCTGTGGATATAAGCTTCCAGTAGAGGTGATCAATAGTAGTAGGCTTAAGAGCCATATAAATATTATGAATAAGAGCCTGTATCTGATATGGTAAAATAAAAGGGAGTTGATCTAAATGCCAATGATGGTTATAATAATAGCTCGAAACAGTTTTACATTCCTCCAACCTTGGAAGGGGTCCAGAGATATAATTTCGAAGGGTAATATTGTGATCAATCCAAGGATCTGTCCAGAATTTAACGTATTTTCCTGAGGCTAGATTCCATTTGAAACCTAGTTTACAGGAAGCCCAGCCTTGCATAATATTCTTCCAAATGGAGGAACTATTGTTCCTTTGTAGATGGGAAGGTTTTATATAATTTCGCAGTAGTACTTGTGCCCATAACTGAGTAGGGTTGTGAAAGAGTCTCCATGCAAGACTGGCATGTAGCGCTTTATTTTTTAGGGACAGATTTTGTATAGCTAGCCCTCCCTTATCCAAAGGTTGTGTGAGGGTATTCCAATTTAGAAGATGCAGCCTCTTCTTAGTACTTGTGGTACCCCAGAGAAAATTTCTTTGGTGCCTATTTAGTGAAGTAATTATGTAAGAGGGTAAAGTAATATATTGCATAACATGATTAGGAAGAGAATTCAAAGTAGAACGTATTAAGGTAGTTCTTCCTGCTTTTGTTAAGAAATTGGTTTTCCAACCAACCAACTTACTACTAAAATTGTCTATTAAGAATTGATAATCATTTTTAGTAGGTTTTATTAATAAAAATTGGAAAACCTAAATATTTACCAAACTGATTACCCTCCTTCATTTGGAATGTATGTAGGATTTGATTTCTAGTATGAGTAGAGCAGTTCTTAGAGAAATTTTTTTTTTGACTTGTCGAAGTTAATTTTTTGACCTGAAGCTTTAGTGAGGTCAGCTAGAGTACCAACCATAGCTTGTCTAGAGGTAGTAGTGATCTTTGAAGTAAGAATAATATTATCAGCAAAGAAGAGATGTGACAATTTAGGTCCCTGACAAGTAATGGAGATAGGTGACCATTTACAATAATCCACTGATGTATTTATTCTTCGAGAAAGCATTTCTAAACAGATAATAAACAAATAAGGTGATAGAGGGTCACCCTGTCGAATCCCCCTAGAGGGCTGGAAATATTTAGTGGGATTACCATTTATCAGAATTGAAATACTACTAGTCGTTATGCAAGACATAACAAGCTGTATGAAGGGTTTTGGAAAATTCAGGGCACAAAGAGAATGATGTATGAATGACCATTCCAATTTATCAAATGCTTTCTCAAGGTCCAATTTTAAGAGCATGTGACCATTATTCCCTTTCATTTTGCGAAACCTAGTTAGGATTTCTTGAACTATAATAGCATTATCCGCAGCCCTTCTATTCTTTAGAAAGCTGGATTGAGTTGGATGTATGAGGTGATCTAGTAAAGGTTTCAGCCTGTTGGCAATGATCTTTGTGATTATTTTGTAAATCGTATTACAAAGACTAATAGGTCTATACTGGTAAATAGTAGAAGCTTGCTTATTTTTAGGTATTAAACAAATAAAAGTCTTGTTAATAACAGGATCTATTTTATGACTATTGAACACAGTATGACAAAAAGACTTAACAGAAATATCAATAGTATCCCAATATTCTGATAAAAGAAAGGATGAAGACCATCCG